TAGGTATTGCAGTGTGTTAAAAACATTTACTGAGAAAAGTTTATCCTGCCTAAAATGTTTTATTTTGTAATTAAGTTGATTATTTCTATCTTTGTTTTTCATTTTCTATAAATGCCATAACCAGTCCATACCTTTATATTTCTGTCTGCCTGCTGACATAACATTTTTTAAATATTAAATCGGACATTACTCCTTACTCAAATAGCCTTTTTGTCAAATACCTTTATACTCATACTTGAGTACTTGTTTGGGCAGCTACCTTTTAGTTTTACTTGAGTAAAGAGCTTTACATTTTAAAAACCTAACTGGAAACTATCATAGATGTTATTGTTCCTGATTTAACATAACGCATGTCCAAGATGGCGCCGACTGTTGCGGCACGCCGTCTGTTGCTTGTAATTGTGGTTTTAGCATTTTTTTGAGTCACTTTTTAGCTTTTTCTGATCCCATTTTTAAATATGATCGACTCACCCTTCTTGATCTTCGGTTGAGCCCTGGACTCGGGCTACATGATGCTAAGTTCAGGCTGACGTTTGGTCACCTGTTTGACAAGGTCCCGGCGTTCCTGCTGGCTGTGCCGGACCGAGTGGGGCGAAACCCGAGGTGGCGGAGACGGCGTGGAAAACGTGGTGGCGTCCGGGTTAGGATAAGGGCCCTTCGGCGAGAAAACAGAGATGGTCGTTTCCTCCAGGACGTACCCCTCTGTGATTTCTCGCCTGGATCTATCTGGGTTCTGCAGCGCCAAAGGCTGGACCGTGCGCGTGGGAGCTCCCAGCCTGCGCAGCGCACTGGTGGAATAAATCCGGGAAATCTCCTCTATCCCGTGAGGTCGGGGTTTTGGCGAACCTCTAATTGGCTTACATCCAGCTCCCTGCCGCAGCTTCGGATTGCTCTGCTGAATGTCCGCTCGCTGGGAAATAAGACAGCTATCCTAGAGGATTTTTACACGGATAACGCTGTGAGCCTGTTCTGCATGACGGAGACGTGGGCTCTGCTAGGTGAGACGGCTTCCTTGGTCGAACTCTGTCCTCCTGACTGTAACGTTGTTAATGAGCCGAGACTCTCTGGCCATGGGGGTGGGGGGGGGGTGGGGGGTGGGGGGGGGGGGGGGGGGGGAGGGCTTTGCTGTCCCTGTACTGTTCAAATCTCCCACTTAAACCTCTTGCTGGGCTGATGGCTCCGACCAGTTTTGAAGTCTCAGTATTAGAGCTGGGCTTCTCTCCCCCATCCTCATTGTACTGTGTTACAGACCACCAAGATACAATATGGATTTTATAAGTGAATTATCCAACCTTTTAGCTGATGTGCTCCCAAAATATGAGCAGGGGATTATTTTGGGTGATTTTAATATCCACGTCTGCTGCCCTCTGAAACCACTGGTGAGGGATTTTATGAATGTTTTAGACTCATTTGGACTACAGCAATTGGTAAATGTTGGGTGAATTAAAAGCAGCGGAAAACTTGCAGTGTTTTCAATAAGGAAACAAGAACTAACCAGAAGGTGATCAGGAGGTGGAGAAGCAGTAACTGACAAGTTAAAGAAAATGCAATGGTGATCTGTGTAGAGTTAAATCAGCATACTGTTGCTATTCAGTGGAGATTCCGAAAAATGACCAATCATATTAACCTATGAAGCTTATATCATATATATAAATATCCCGGATACTTATATCAATCTAAGTTCATACATAAGCCTGTTTGATCTACTTTTAATCCAAAGATTAATGTTTAATTTAGATAATTAAATTTAATAGCAAAAGTTCTTTTTGAATCATAAACTAGGATCTTTGCTTTCAAATAACCAGGGGCGGCGTTAGGCCCGGCTACTTGGGCTGAAGCCCCGGATCTTTCATGATAAGCCCCGGATCTAAATCGTGGAAGTAACATGCAGTACCAAAGTCCAACAGAGAGGGTGCAGCTGGCAGTAGTTTGTATACAGCCTGCCTGAGCCTCCACCACTGAAGAAGAAGAAGCCCTTCAGCAGCCGGCATCTTCTACACTCTCTGTCTGAAACGCATGAGTGAAGATGGACATAAGGACATTTTTTAGACCAAAAGTACAATGACAGAACCCCAGCTTTGATGAGACTGGTGTTGACTCAGGTTTGTGAGTCTTATTTGAAAATATTTGTTGTGCTGCTGGTTTGCCTAAAGTTAGCTTACTATCAGGTAAAGTTGTTGGAGAAAGAAAGGGAATATTTACTATCATCTCACACTAAACACTAACAGGAACAATACTCTGCCCTGAAAATGCTTAATATGGAGCTTCAGATTAAAAATTATGTGGTACAAGATATATATATATATGATGTTGACTAGTGTGTGTCACGTGTGGGCGCATGCGCGTGCGTGCGCACACGTGTGTGCGCGCGTGTGTTAAGCCCCGGATCTTCTTCAGTCCTAAATCCGCCCCTGCAAATAACTAGAAATATTATACCTTTTCTGTGTTCCGTTTCAATAAGGAGGCAAGTTTAAAAATGAAGAAATTTATTACTCTCAATTTTAAACTTAAAGATTTGAAACGACAATTATAAAATGACAATTCATGGATGGCAATTTTATGACAAATTTCAACAGCTTTGATATTAAACTTGTTTTAAAAGCAAACCTGTGCCTGAATGGAAGCTAAATGGAAAATACGAGTTTGGATGCGTGGATGAAGTTATGAGAAGGTTTCTTTCCCAGAGAGTTGGAAGCGTTCTGGCTGAAAATGTAGTTTTGAGGCTAACTGAGTTATTTAGAGAGAAAACAGGGGACGCATTCTCGTGTGCTACCTCACCCAAACAGGACCCTCTTGTGGATCCTGAGATCAGGAGGATGTGGTTCATCCAAGATGACACTCAGTCTGGTAGGGGAGACGCAAGTGTCCGATCGTCTGGTCCAGAGATGTCCTGGGTACACGGTTTGTCAAGCGTTTGGCAGATGGATGTTCTCATCTTAACTTCAGAAATCAATGACTCTGGGAGAGTCTTCGTTAGCTGGTTACAGTTCGTTTATTCTTTGGCTATTCTGGTCGGCGTGACTAGAACAGCAGGTGGAGGATTCAGGGTGGCCGTTCCCTTTCCCTCCTTGGTGTTGGTTCAACAACTGGTTCTGAAGCTGGGGATGGTTAGTTTTACCAAGCTCCAGGACACTCCCACTCTCTCAGGAAGAAAGCTTTGATCATGAGTCAAAAAAAATGTGTGAAGTTATTTTTATCTGGACTCTGTGTTAGCTGGATAAGGTGACTGACCTTCTGATATGCTTAACACATCTTTACTGTCATCATAATCATAATAATTATTATTATTATAATTAATCATTATTATACCCAAAGCATAACAGTCCATTTCATGTAATTAAAATACCTTTATACTGAACCAAGTGATCACTTATGAGATTATGTTAAACAGCAATAAAATCAACAAGTTTTATTAATTATTATCTAATTATTATCATGTGACTTGAAGTGTCCTCTTCCTGGGATGGAACAGCAGATATGGTGATATGTTCTTGCAGACATCGTGGCTCCTTGGGTTAATCTGTGGATTTAAAAGTACTGTTTGACCCAGCTTGACCCAGCAGGGTAGATGTGACCTTTGCCACAAAATATAGGATCTTTCATGATGCTACAGACCCCCCTTTTGTCAATGGCAGATGGATGCAGGAAACCACCTGACGCTGGCAACCAAGCACTTGAAGGGACTCTATCTGAAGAAGCTGTTGCAGTCCAGGCGAAGGCTGGAGAGAGGAAAGCTTCCCCTCTTTCAGTGAAGATAGGAGCTCATCCTGAGAAGTTGGTTAAGTCAAAATTGCAGATCATTGTAAATGAATCCTCAATAAGATGGCTATTTCAATAGCAGTTAATTATCATAAGTAGTAATTTCCACAGCGTATGCAAAGGATAAGGCAGCCTGTTTTTCCACACACAGAGCCGAGCAGGAGGATGTAGACAGACGACCAGCCGTCAGCAGCGGATCCCCGGATGGCCTCCAGGCGACCTCTCAGCGCAGGCACACAGGACGTCTCGAACCATGACTGAAGCGAAGCCCCATGCGACAGGAACACCAGGCAGGAGCAGCGTAGAGGACACTCGGATGGCGAAGTCCCCCATGGATGGAGGTCCCTCAGACAGCGAAGGCCAATGGTGAAGCTCATGGGTGAGAAGATCAGAGCAGCAGTGAGGCAGACACACAAAGATTGTGTTTGATGCAAATCAAAGAAATAAATAATAAACCTGACCCTGTGAGTACCTCTGAGATACTGTGTCAGATTATGTGAATTATCTAAATGAAGAAATTAAATGCAACCTCTCTATGTGTAATGTAAAAAGTGATGCATAAAAAAAACAAAGACAAATAAAAGAAATCAAACCCTAACTGATATGGGAAAATCACCTGCACTAATTAAAGCTTTATAAGAATGAAGGGCAAATTGGCTTGTAGCCCTTTAAGGGAAATTAACCCAGTTAATCCCTAAAGTTCTCACTTAATTACCCTAACGAAAGCACTATAAAAAAATAGAACTGTAAGCGTCAACACTAAAAATGTAAATCAGTTGAGTTAGTATTCCTAAATGTGGATGTTAGTACCAAGACAACCTGGCTGAAGGCAGTTGTCCTGATTAAACCTCAGAAAGTAGGGCTGCTCAATTAATCGAATTTTAATCCCAATTACGATCTGAGTTTTGAACGATTATGAAAACAAAACAAGCTGATTATTTGCTCCTCCCACTTGCGCTGCCCTGAGTTGCAAATGAAGCGCTCCTCACAGTGTTGCCAACTTAGCGACTTTGACGCTATTTCTAACAGCTTTTCAGACCCCCTTCTTGACTTTTTAATTCTTAAAAGTATCTAGCGAACACCTCAGAAACATCTCTGGTAACCCTTAGCTACTTTCTGGATAACCGTCGTTGACAATTGCTGCAGGTTAGCTAAACACTCCGCCTGTGCCCCGGACCATTCTTCACAACATTAGGAAAGGGAATGATGTAGTGATGTGTCAGTCGCTAAAGAAACGGCTCTCAGAGCCAGGCCCCTGTTGAATTAACCAGAGCGAGTGACGCACACCGTACCTGCGGGCTCCTGAGCCGCTAAAAACAGCTAAATGTGCGCATGTGGCGTGCTAAACACACGTACATCTTGCCCATGATTGCTGTGAAACTGGGTTGGGGGTGCAGCTGTGGTTGGGACAATTATTACATTAACTGATGGATCTGTAAATAGTTTATAATAAGGTAGAAATAGATAGAAATAAGTTCCTCACGCTGATAAATAATAACTAATTTCTCTGAGAACACGGTGCTGTTGTGTGACGGGGTGAGTACTCCTCCTTCTCTACAACATCTTTGTGAGATCTTCATTCCAGGAGAGGGCACTCACCAGCTGCGGAGCATTACCAATCAGCGGCAGCTGCAGATCCTCAGATCATCCGCAGCAAAGCTCTATTTAAGAGGAGAGGGAACTACTTCACATCGCTGGATGATTAACTACTCACGGTAGTATCTTGCCACTCAAGTCTTAGGTTATGCTTGGTCTCTGCTCAGACTTTTGTGCTGTCGCAGTTTTTGGATGTTTTTGGATTTTTGCTTGGATTCTTGTGTTTGGACCCTTTGGACTCAAGTTTGGTTTCCTCTTCGGGTTACTTGGAAACGCTGAACCATTGATGGATATACCTACCTGGAAATCACCATAACCCGCCTGGACTACAACTCTCAAGGTTCGCCTCTCCTCCTGTTCCTCTTGTCTGCCGCCATCATCTGGCTCCCTCTCCTGGACACACCCTGTCACACCGTCTGCCCTCCCTGCTGACTTCTGGACTCTTGCCGGCTACACTGAACTTGGATATCTCCAGGACACTTTTAGTTAAGATAAATAAATCATTGTTTGAACTTTCTGCCGTAGTCTTGTGATGATTCTTCATGTCGTGGGTTAAACACCTTCCCAGGGACATGACAGGTGTTAGTGCACTCTCCTACAGTACCTTGACATGACTAAATACATATTATGCAACATTTTGTGAACATCAATTTGCATGTATTTGTTATAAATGCCACTGTATAATTCTTGCTGTCAGTATTTGCAAGACATTGGTATTTGGGTCTGTACTGGTTAGACTTAAATGAGTTAAACCAAGGTCTATAGCCCTTGGGTCATAAACTATGAGCTATAAGTAAATTGGCCTTTTTATACTGGGAATCAGGAGTTGTTTTAGTGATCATCTTGTTTCTTGTTTATTTTTGTCCTGATTGTGCCCTGAGCAATTTTATGACAGAATGAAAACAAATAAAATCAACATAAATTGAAAAATCGTCTTAAATAATCGAGATCTCAATTTCAGTCACAATAATGGCGATTATTATTTTTGCCATATTCGAGCAGCCCTATCGAAAAGTTACCAAAACTATTAAAAATAATTTAATTTGGATCGACCCATCAGGTAGTGAAGATGTCCACTTTTGAACTGTTATGTTCTGAAAACACTTTTTTTAATCTTTTATTTCATTCACAATGTATAAAATAAACACAAACAAATACAACATACATTAACATATTGGGGGAAAAAACATTTGAATGAAAAGGAGCAGATAGAAGAAAAAATCTTATGATTTCTGCCCCTTTTTACGAAATAAAATTATCCGCCAAACAAACACAGTATAACCTCAGTCACTTTCTATTATTTTCATGTCTAATCTTTGACATTATAATTCTCCTTTTCATAATTACTAAATACATTAGCTTTTATACATTTTTTAAATATAGCAAGTGTAGTTGATTCTTTAAGTTCCTTGTTAATGGCATTTCACAATCTTACACCATTTACAGAAATGTTACATTCCCTCACTTTGGTTCTGAATCTAGGTTTCTTAAAGACATCAGTTCCTTTTAACATGTACCCACTTACTCTCTTATGAAACATTTTCTGAATATTAGTTGGTATATTACTCGTATTCACTCTGTACATTATTTGCAATATTTTCCACTCTACCAAGTCAGGAAATTTCAGTATTTTGTATCTAATAAATAATTGATTAGTGTGATCTCTATAGTTACTGTTATTAATGGTTCTCAGTGCTCTTTTTTGCAAAATGAACAATGGTTGTGTAAAAGTTTTGCTAGTGGCTTCCCAAATTTCTAAACAATAAAATAAATATGGTTCAATCAGTGAGTGATACAATGTTAACAACCCCGACAAATTTAGTAGAAACTTGACTCTATATAATACACCTATGGCTTTGGCGATTTTCCCCTTTATATAACCTACAAGTGATTTCCTTTTTTTTTTTTTTTTTTTTCCACGTGAGACTCTCATCAAACATGACTCCAAGAAATTTGGTTTCTTTTACCCTTTGAATTTCCATTCCATCTATCATTAAAGATACATCACAGCTTCTTCTATTATTAAACAGTATAAAGTTTGTTTTGTTCAGGTTCATTGAACGTCTATTTACATCAAACCATTTTTTAACTTTAATCAATTCACTGTTTATCACTTGAGTTACTTCATGTGCATTTAATCCTGAATAAAACAATTGGTGAGGGTCTGACCTCATGAGGAAATTACTATGCAGTGATTTTCTCCAAAATGACTGTGCTTAAATTGCTCTGAAAAGCAAATAATCACATCAGTGCCAAGAAACTTCATTTCCCATGATGCTTTGCAAACGGAAGCATTGGGATGATGTCACCGCCTAATACCAGAAACACGTTCTGCGCATGTGCGGGAGGCCGTGGAGCTTTTCCCGCGAACTAAGACCATAAATCTTCAGCAGAGACAAAGAAACCTCGTTCTTTTGCCCAGGATACCCGGCGGTAAGGACACGCTTGTCGAACGCTCCGACTCCCTTGAGCACGCGGAAGCTCTAAGTGCCCAAGTTGAGCCACGCAACCGCTGGAACGCCACTCCAACTCCATCGGGACCTGACTGGGAACGAGCGGAGCTCCATCCAGCTCTCAGAGACGCTGTAAGTTGTCAAACTCAGCACAAAAGAAACTTAGTTCTCTTTGTGTCCAGCCCGTGGAGAAACACTCACGGAGAACGCCAAACAACGGAGAAAGCATCAAACCGACGGACGACGCCGAAAGCTGTGGAGAAACACGGAGAACCGTCAAATCAATAAGTGAGGGACGCTTCACTGTTCTGGTGATCAGAAACTCATCTCTTTCTCTCATTCTTTCCTTCTCCCGTTTCCTCTATAGTCCAGAATAAGCAATAAAACCGCGTCTATTGCTTAAAAGTAGCTTCGTGTTTTCCTCTTTCGTCCCAAACACGTCCGTCGGGTCATTTTGAAAGAATAAACTGCTTATTTATCATTGTTTGAATATCTTTAAATGTTTCCTACTATGGCCAAGTTGTGAAACTAAAAGATATTAACTTGTGATTAATCTTTTGTGTTGTTTCATGATCCTTTGAAATGTTTTGAGTGATTTAAGGTTAAGTTACTACTGATTCTAAGTGCCTTGGAAGTTAAAGTGCAAGTTGCCACCCACACTTTAGCCAGACAAAGGGGTCAGCCATCTTGTATACAGACTCCATTTTAGAAACACACACACACATACATACACACAAAACACCTTGAACATTATTTTGAATATACATCCTTTTATTATATCACATGGTTATTATTCATTTATGCCACTGTTTATTCATTTGACAAATTGTTAATTAAACGTTATAAAATTCAGATTTTCGTCTCCAGTAGCTTTGTTGTGTCGAAGAGAAGTCTCTGCTCCGAGGATTCTACGAACTTCAAGAAAGACTGATAAGAGTTTTGGATTCAATTTTTCCCCGGTTAAAGGGGAATGGTGCCCCGTATATCTAAGAATATCTTAATTAATTAATAAATCAGTAAATATTCCCATATTTACAGAATTTATTGAAGAATCCAAAAGTAAGTTAAAGCTTACGAATTGTTCGCTCCTAATAACCCCAACATTAATTGGTGCAGCCCGTGTGAGGCTTGGATACACAGAGATTTTCTATCCGGCACAAACAAACTAATAAATCTTTAGCTTGAATTAAAAATAATCAGTTGTTCAGCCTTGAACCAGCAACAGAGTGGTGCTGATTTCGCTGAGCAGGAAGCTGCAGCGAACTCTCACCAGTAACTCAGTGCTTCTTTAAAGGTGCAACGTGTAATTAATTCTGGTTAACCTTTTAGGTTAAAATTCAGTTCTTCATTAAAGGTGCAGTATGTAAGTGATTCTGACTAACCCTTTTAGGCTAAAATTAACTGCTAAGTTAGCGACTTTAACTCACAGTGGCTATTATAACTAACTGAAACCTTCACTCAAAGACTGATAACACCCTGTTTGCTAATATTCTGAAGGAATAACTAGCATATTTAACAGCCAAGTGTTGTAAGACGTTGCTACGGCAACGCACCAGCTTTTGCTAAAATACTGAAAGGAATAGTATTTTAGGCATTAGTCACGGCATTCCGTGCAATCTTAAAACGCTAAAACCTGTGTGCACAAAGGTTAATTTAGTGTTTTCTGCTACAAAGCTAGCAGTTGCTGCCAAAAGGTGCAGCTTTGAGCTATCTGCAGAAGCTCTACTAGGTTATTTTTGGTTTGATTGTTAAAATGGAGGGACAGAGTAGTGAACTGACCAACTCCCAGCAACCAGGTGGCGCTGCGGCCCACGAATGTGAACCTGGCCTACTTTCTGGACAATTTTTGTACAAACTGGTCGCGGTTGCTCGAGAACCCGACTACCCTTCTAGGGATCTCACTGAAGAACAGCGTAGCGACGAGCTAGAAGCTGTAATTGATCAAATAGAAAACCCGGATGGTAATGTTCCAATCCAGGTGTCCTTGGCTAAGTTAGCCTTGATCCTCTATCAGATAGACCTTCAACGTGGTCAGAAGATCATGAACCTCCAGAGCATGCTAGCTGAAAGGCAGCAAAATGGAAGGCAGAAGGATGACGAGGAGGAAGACAGCACCGATTCTGGGGAAGATGGGGAGAAGACCCCGCCCCCTTCTGCTGATGACAACAGACAGTGGGAAGGGGGGGAACACCGTGACTCTGAGGCT